CACGCCCAGGGTCCAGCTACTCAGAAGGCTGAGACAGGAGGATCCCTGAGTCCAGGCATTTGAGGCTATAGTGAGTTATGAGTGTACCACTGAGCTCCAGGCTGGGCAACAGAGCAAGATCCTGTCTCAAAAAAAAAAAAAAAAAGTTACCTCCTCAATGAAGCCTTCCCTGACCACCTCAGTGAATTCTGTCTCCTCCCCTCCTTTATTTCATTCATTTTGTTTGCCGCAAGCATCACCATCTGCCTTGCTCACTAGTTTACTGTCTTCCTTTACATACATGGTTTTGTGCCAGGAATTGGCTTGCACAATCCTGGGAACCACCATGTCCAAAATCCACCGGGCAGGTTGGCGAGTTTCAGGTAAGAGCCGACACTGCAGTTTTGTTTTCGTTTTTGAGATGGAGTCTCGCTGTGTCGCCCACGCTGGAGTGCAATGGCGCGACCTCAGCTCATTGCAACCTCCGCCTCCTGAGTTCAAGTGATTCTACTTTCTCAGCCTCCTGAGTAGCTGAGGTTACAGACGCGCACCACCATGCCCAGCCAGTTTTTGTATTTTTAGTAAAGACAGGGTTTGGCCACGTTGGCCAGGCTGGTGTCGAACCCCTGACCTCAGGTGATCCACACACCTCAGCCTCCCAAGGTGCTGGGATGACAGACGTGAGCTACCGTACCCAGCGGCATTTTTTTTTTTTTTTTTACCTTTTATACCATATTTTTGCTGTTCCTTTTCTATGTTTAGATATGCATAGACACACAAATATCATTGTGTTACAATCGCCTACAGGGATGGGTATGGTCTCGTGCTGGGCAGGTTTGTAGCCTAGAAACATTAGGGTACAGATACAGCATTCCACCTAGGTGTAGAGTGAGCTATGCCACCTAGATTTGTGTGTGTACATTCTAAAATGTTCACACAACAAAATCACCCACTGAGCCATCTCTCAGAACCGAGCCTCTTTGCTATGTGGCATGTGGCTGTATTTGTTAAATGAATGAAAAGTAGGTATGGGAGCTCTTCCCATTTTACTTTTTCTTGTTTTGAGATGGTGTCTTGCTCTGTCACCCAGGCTGGAGTGCAGTGCCACAATCTTGGCTCACTGCAACCTCCGCATCCCAGGTTCAAGCGATTCTCCTGCCTCAGTCTCCCGAGTAGCTGGGACTGCAAGCGCCTGCCACCACGCCCGGCTAATTTTTGTATTTTTAGTAGAGATGGGGCTTCACGATGTTGGCCAGGCTGGTCTCGAACTCCTGACCTCAGGTGATTGGCCCGCCTCGGCCTCCCAAAGTGCTGGGGTTACAGGCATGAGCCACTGTGCCTTTTAAGTTCCCACTGGAGTTTGTGCGTGTGTCCAACTGGGCACAAGGGGGCAGTAGAGGGCAGTGACCAAGCACCCCAGGCTGGCGTAGTCAGGCTGGCATGGACAGAATCTGTCAGTTCTGCCACCTTGGGCAAGGGCCACTGGCCCAGCCTATTTCCTCCTCTGTGAAATGGGCTTCTACCTGCCTCAAAGGGCTGCTGTGAGAAATAAGTAGGATTATGCTGTGAACATCCCAGTGCCATGCCTGGCACACGGTGGATACTCTGTCCATGGTGTAAGTTTTGACTCTAGAAGATTCTACAACAGCAGGAATCGTAGACTCAGATGCCAGTGGGTGCTGGGTAGGCAAAGAAGGAGCTAGAGGGAAATTCTAACACCCAGGAGGGCATCGGAGGACACTTCCTGCTGATTGGTATCAGTTCGGAAGGAGAGGTCTTCTGAATCAAGAAATCATAGATATCTAGACTTTTTTTATTTATTTTTTTGAGATGGAGTCTCACGCTGTTGCCCAGGCTGGAGTGCAGTGGCTCGATCTCGGCTCACTGCAACCTCTGCCTCCCAGGTTCAAGCAATTCTCCTGCCTCAGCCTCCCGAGTAGCTGGGGTTACAGACATGCACTACCACACCCGGCTAATTTTTGTCTTTTTGGTAGAGATGGGGTTTAGCCACATTAGCCAGGCTGGTATCAAACTCCTGACCTCAGGTGGTTTGCCCGCCTAGCCCTCCCAAAGTGCTGGGATTACAGGCATGAGCTATGGCACCCGGCCAATAAATCATTTTTTTTAAAGGAAAGGAACATGCACTCCACCACCCTTCCTGTCTAAACAGCTTGCCTTGCAGCTGAGCCAGGACTGCTGCATTACACAGATGAATTAAGCTGTAGCCAGGCATTCCTGAGTCAGCACGCCCTGCCGCTAGGACCGCTGGCAGCCTCATGCAAAACGTTTTGCCCGGAATGGAATCTTTCCTCGGGCAGCCAAGGGCACAGAACACCTGGATCAAACTTGGGCAGCACGGGCTGTGGCTTCAAGAAGTGGTCCGGAGGCCGGGCGCGGTGGCTCAAGCCTGTAATCCCAGCACTTTGGGAGGCCGAGGCGGGTGGATCACGAGGTCGAGAGATCGAGACCAACCTGGTCAACATGGTGAAACCCCATCTCTACTAAAAATACAAAAAATTAGCTGGGCATGGTGGCGCGTGCCTGTAATCCCAGCTACTCAGGAGGCTGAGGCAGGAGAATTGCCTGAACCCAGGAGGCGGAGGTTGCGGTGAGCCGAGATCGCGCCATTGCACTCCAGACTGGGTAACAAGAGCGAAACTCCGTCTCAAAAAATAAATAAATAAATAAATAAATAAATAAGAAAATAAAAATTTTTTTTTAATTAAAAAAAAAAAGTCCACCCTGTTTTAGATTTTCCTAGTTTTTCCTAATGTCCTCTTTTCTTTTCTCTCTTTTTATTTATTTTTTCTTTTTGAGATGGAGTCTCGCTCTGCCGCCAAGGCTGGAGTGCAGTGGTGTGATCTCGGCTCACTGCAACCTCTGCCTCCCGGGTTCAAGTGATTCTCCTGCCTCAGCCTCCCGAGTGTAGCTGGGTTTACAGGCGTGCGCCACCACGCCTGGCTAATTTTTGTATTTTTAGTTGATACGGGGTTTCATTATGTCGGCCAGGCTGCTCTGGAACTCCTGGGCTCAAGTGATCCGCCTGCCTTGACTTCCCAAAGCACTGGGATTGCAGGCGGGAGCCACCATGTCCGGCCCATTCTATTTTTTAGAATGACATCACTACACACAGCCTACAGAGAGTTATCCAGTTATCCTTCTTTTCCTTGAGGGAAGCGATGTACATAAATTATTTGCAATTTTTCTGCACAAAAAACATGTGTCTCTTCTATTTGTTTGTTCAATGACTTATTTATATCCATATAGAGTCATAGACATTTATTTTGTATCTTGGGTTATAATTCAATATTTCCTTATTTATTGGGTTGCACAAACTATTCCAGCATTAATGTAGAGATCTCTTCTGGTTGACTCCAGTTATTTAATTTTTTGTTTTTTTATTTTGTTTTATTTGAGATAGAATCTTGCTCTGTTGCCAAGGCTAGAGTGCAATGGCACAGTCTCAGCTCACTGCAGCCTCCGCGCCCAGGTTCAAGTGATTCTCCTGCCTCAGCCTCCTATGTAGCTGGGATTACAGGTGCCCACCACCACACCCAGCTAATTTTTGTATTTTTAGTAGAGATGGGTTTTCGCCATGTTGGCCAGGCTGGTCTCAAACTCCTTATCTCATCAACCACCCACCTCAGCCTCCCAAAGTGCTAGGATTACAGATGTGAGCCACCATCCTGGTCTATTTATTTATTTAATTTTTAATTTTTTTAATACTTCTTGCTGCATTTAAGAGTCAAAAACTCACCGGGCGCGGTGGCTCAAGCCTGTAATCCCAGCACTTTGGGAGGCCGAGGCGGGTGGATCACGAGGTCAAGAGATCGAGACCATCCTGGTCAACATGGTGAAGCCCTGTCTCTACTAAAAATACAAAAAATTAGCTGGGCATGGTGGCGCGTGCCTGTAATCCCAGCTACTCAGGAGGCTGAGGCAGGAGAATTGCCTGAACCCAGGAGGTGGAGGTTGCGGTGAGCCGAGATCGCACCATTGCACTCCAGCCTGGGTAACAAGAGCAAAACTCGGTCTCAAAAAAAAAAAAAGAGTCAAAAACTCATCAGAGATCAAATTCCGCGGGGTAACCCTAGGGAGAATTCAACTTATTAATATATTTCAAAGTTTCTGAAGTCACATGATGCTGGAGAAAACCTTCATTCTTACCAAGACATCCAAAAATCCCCACAAGGCTTAATATTAATTTGATGCTCTAAAAGGGGCCCTTCAGCCCTGATGCATTGTGACTTCTTTCCTCTGTTAAAGAAAAAACAGGCGGGGCTCAGTGGCTCACGCCTGTAATCCCAGCACTTTGGGAGGCCGAGGCAGGAGGATTGCCTGAGCTCAGAAGTTCAAGACCTGCCTGGCCAAACATGGTGAATCCCTGTCTCTACTAAAATTAGCCAGGCGTGGTGGCGTGCTCCTGCAATCCCAGCTACTTGGGAGGCTGAGGCAGGAGAATCGCTTGAACTCGGGAGGCGGAGGTTGCAGTGAGCCAAGATCGCACCACTGCACCCCAGCCTGGGCAACAGAGTGAGACTCCATCTCAAAAAAAAAAGAAAAAGAAAAAACATACTGAGCATGGTGGCTCACGCCTGTAATCCCAGCACTTTAAGAGGCCAAGGTGGGAAGACAGTGTGACCCCAGGAGTTCAAGAACAGCCAGGGCAACATAGCGAGACCCCATCTCTGCAAAAAACTACAAAAAGTAGCCAGTCCTGGTGGTGTACACCTGTAGTCCCTGCTACCCAGGAGGCTGAGGCAGGAGGATCTCTTGAGTCCAGGAGGTGGAGGGATTATCTGATCACGAGACTGCACTCCAGCCTGGATGACAGACTGAAGTCCTGTCTCCAAAAAAAATGTATGTATGTGGGTCCAGTGATTCTCCAGAACTAAATGTGTTTTCTTTTTGTTACTGTCTTGACTGACTGGCCTGGCCGGACCTGTCTGGGTCACTCCACACTCCCCTGGCTGAATCTCCGGTGCCCGGTGACTGATGCCCATTCCTGGATGGGTCCACAGGCCGCTTCCAGAAGAGACCGGGGTGGAACTGCTTGGCAGTCCCGTGGAAGACACATCCTGTAAGTTTCCCTGTCCACAGAAGGGCAGAAACAGGCCCACTGTTTCTGGGTTTCAGCCCTGCCTGGGGCTACAACTAGAAATGTCAGAGGCTGGCCGGGTGCGGTGTCTCACGCCTGTAATCCCAGCACTCAGGGAGGCCCAGGTGGGCCGAGCACAAGGTCAGGAGATCCAGACCATCCTGGCTAACACGGTGAAACCCCATCTCTACTAAAAATGCAAAAAAGCTAGCTGGGAATGATGGCACATGCCTGTAATCCCAGCTACCTGGGAGGCTGAGGCAGGAGAATTGCTTGAGCCCAGAAGGCAGAGGTTGCAGTGGGCCAAGATTGCACCACTGCACTCCAGCCCGGGTGACAGAGTGAGATTCCATCAAAATAAAAATAAAAATGAAAAAAATTTCGTGGACTTTAAACAGGCAGCTATCTGTGATGTGGGTGGGCCTCAGCTAATCAGTTGAAGGTTTTAAGAGAAGACTGAGGTTCCCCCAGGCAGAGACAATTCTGCCTGCAGACACACTGGCAACATCAGCCCCTCCCTCAGCGTCCAATCCGCTCGCCCGCCCTGCAGATTTAGAACTTGTCAGTCTCTGTGATCATATGAGCTAATTCCTTAAAATAAATTTTTTCCTTTTTCTTCCATATGTACAGAAAATACACACACACACACACACACACACACACACACCACACACACACCACACACCGTATTGGATTTGTTTCCCTGGAGAACTCTAAAATAGGAGACGATCCCAGATCCTACATTCTCCAGGTGGCCTGATGTCCTCACAGGATCCTCACGAGTGGAGACAGGAGGGTGAGTCAGAGAGAGCCTGGAAGAGGCTTCACAATTTGTCTGCACAAGAGTTGTGTCTCTTCTTGCTTATCTATTTATTTATTTATGTTTTGAGATGGAGTTTTGCCCTTTTTTTTTTTTCGGTTTTTTTTTTTTTGAGACAGTTTCGCTCTTGTTACCCAGGCTGGAGTGCAATGGCGCGATCTCGGCTCACCGCAACCTCCCCCTCCTGGGTTCAGGCAATTCTCCTGCCTCAGCCTCCTGAGTAGCTGGGATTACAGGCACGCGCCACCATGCCCAGCTAATTTTTTGTATTTTTAGTAGAGATGGGGTTTCACCATGTTGACCAGGATGGTCTCGATCTCTTGACCTCGTGATCCACCCGCCTGAGCCTCCCAAAGTGCTGGGATTACAGGCGTGAGCCACCACGCCCGGCCTTGCTTTTTTTTTTCCAGACAGAATCTTGCTCTGTAGCCCAGGCTGGAGTGCAGTGGCACAAGCTCAGCTCACTGCTACCTCCACTTCCCAGGTTCAAGCCATTCTCCTGCCCCAGCCTCCCGAGTAGCTGGGATTACAGGTGCCCACCACCATGCCTGGCTAATTTTTGTATTTTTAGTAGAGACAGGGTTTCACGACATGGGTCTGGCTGGTCTCGAACTCCTGACCTCGTGATCCACCTGCCTGAGCCTCCCAAAGTACTGGGATTATAGGCATAAACAACCGGGCCCGGCCAGAGTTTTGCTTTTGTTGCCTAGGCTAGAGTGCAGTGGCTGGATTTTTGCTCATTGCAACCTCTGCCTCCTGGGTTCAAGCAATTCTCCTGCCTCAGCCTCCTGAGTAGCTGGGATTACAGGCACCCGCCACCACACCCGGCTCATTTTTGTACTTTTAGTAGAAATGGCATTTCAACATGTTGGCCAGGCTGGTCTCAAACTCATGACCTCAGGTGATCTGCCAGCCTCAGCCTCCCAAAGTGCTGGGATGACAGGCCTGAGCCACCGCATCCAGCCTAAAGTCAAGCTTTGAACCTAGGTCTGCCCACTGTCCAAGAATCCAGCCCTAATCTCTGAGGCAGGTGCCCCGACCCCACCCACAGGACAGCGGTTATGACATTCGCCGCTGTCAGGAACTGATGTCTGCTTATCAGCCCCGGACGATGGCACCCACACAGGAGGGAGCCTACCCGCTCCTCCCTCTTCCTGTGCAATAAAACAGCTTCCACCAGATAGGAAACTGGGGAGGAGGTAAAGGAGAGGAAGTAAGGATTGTCTCTGCTCTTCCCATTTCCCCGCAGCACCTCCCAGCACGCTGAACTTCAGCGGAACGCATCGTAAGAGGAAGACGCTGGTGGCGCCAGAGATCAACATTTCCCTGGATCAGAGCGAGGGGTCCCTGCTGTCCGATGACTTCTTGGATACCCCGGATGACCTGGATATTAACGTGGATGACATCGAGACCCCCGATGAGACCGACTCCCTGGAGTTCCTGGGGAATGGCAATGAACTGGAGTGGGAAGGTAAAGTTCGGGGTCTCTCTGGCACCTGCTGGACGCCCCCCACCCCCCCCCCCCGGCTTTCCGTCTCTGGATTCTCAAAGGCTCAGAGAGTCAGAGGCAGGGCAGGGGCTCTCAGCTGTCTAACCTTGAGCGCAGGAGGTCAAGGCTGCAGTGAGATGTCATTGCGCCACTGTACTCCAGCATGGACAGCAGAGTGAGACCATGTGTCAAAAATAAAAGTTAAAAAAAGAGAGAGAGGTTAAGCCCTGGCGCGGTGGCTCACACCTGTGATCCCAGCACTTTGGGAGGCTGAGGCAGGCGGATCACCAGGTCAGAAGTTCAAGACCAGACTGGCCAACATGGTAAAGCCCCGTCTCTACTAAAAATACAAAGATTAGCTGGGCGTGGTGGCGGGCACCTGTAATCCCAGCTACTCGGGAGGCTGACACAGGAGAATCACTTGAACCGGGACCCGGGAGTTGGAGGTTGCGGTGGTCCAAGACTGAGCCACTGCACTCCAGCCTGGGCTACAGAGTGAGACTCTCATCTCAAAAAAAAGAAAACAGAGAGAGAGGTTGATGAATGGGTACCAACATACAATTAGACAGAAGGAATAAGTTCTGTTGTTCGATAGCAGAATAGGAGCAGTGCCAGGAGGAGAGTCCATCCGCCATTCACCCCTGCAACTTTTTTTGTTTTCGAGACAGGGTCTCCCTCTGTTGCCCCGGCTGGAGTGCAATGGCGCTTTCTCAGCTCACTGCATCCTCCACCTCCTGGGTTCAAGCAATTCTCCTGCCTCCGCCTCCCAAGTAGCTGGGATTACAGGCGTGCACCACCACAGCTGGCTAATGTTTATATTTTTAGTAGAGACAAGGTTTCCCCATGTAGCCCAGGCTGGCCTCAAACTCCTGGCTTCAAGTGATCCCCCTGCCCCGGCCTCCCAAAGTGCTGGGATCCTGCCGCTGCAGTTCGATACACATTTTTCTTGTGATCTTGTGAATTTTCCTGTGGAACATGGCTTTCATCAGACTCTCAAAGGCGACCAAGACCCCGGCAAGCTGCCTTCAATGTATGCAACAAATAAGAGCATTTGCTTCCGGGCACGTCCTGATTCAGGTGTGGGGGGATATGGCAGGGCTATGATAAGAAGAGACAGTCAGGCTGGGCGCGGTGGCTCACGCCCCAGCACTTTGGGAGGCCGAGGTGGGCGGATCACGAGGTCAGGAGTTTGAGACCAGCCTGGCCAACATGGTGAAACCCCGTCTCTACTAAAAATACAAAAATTAGCTGGGTGTGGTGGCGCATGACTGTAGTCTCAGCTACTTGGGAGGCTGAGGCAGGAGAATTGCTGGAAGCCGGGAAGTGGAGGATGCAGTGAGCTCAGACAGCACCACTGCGTTCCAGCCTGGGTGACAGACAGAGACCCTGTCTCAAAAAAGAAAAAAAAAAGTTGCAGGGGCGAATGGCAGATGGGCCCGCCTCCCGGCACCCCTCCTATCCTGCTATGGAACAACACAGCAGAGGAGGGGGCATGTGAGCCAGGCCTTGAAGAGAGAGTAGTAGAGGAAATGGGTCAGCAGGGCAGCCAGGTGCACAGCCGGGAGAGGGGACAGAAGGCTGAGCGGGAGGGCGGGAGCTGTCTGTACTGGGCCGTCCATGCGGCTGTCCCCCGCCTGCTTCTAGATGACACCCCCGTGGCCACCGCCAAGAACATGCCCGGGGACAGCGCGGATCTATTTGGGGACGGAGCAACGGAGGACGGCAGTGCTGCCAACGGGCGTCTGTGGCGGACGGTGATTATTGGGGAGCAGGAGCACCGCATAGACCTGCACATGATCCGGCCTTACATGAAGGTGGTCACCCACGGAGGTGAGACCGGCCCCCGGGGCTGCGGGAGGCTTGGCAGTGCCCCTCTCTGCATCTTGGTCTCCATCGCACGCACGGGGATGTCAAGCCTTCAACCCGCTTGGGGCAGACGGGCTGTGGGCAAGGCGTGCACGGCCGGGCAGGCGGGGGTGGGGGTCCCTGATGGTCGCTGTGGCTCCCCACTGAAGGGGTTGCTGGCTGCTGTGGCTCAAAGCCACCCCCTCCAGAGCACGTGGGCACCGGGACGTGGTTGGTGGCACGTGCGAGGTGGCTGAGGGCTGGGGGAGGGGTCCCACGCTGCTGACCGGCCGCCCCCCACCGCAGGGTACTACGGCGAAGGCCTCAACGCCATCATCGTCTTCGCGGCCTGTTTCCTCCCGGACAGCAGCCTCCCCGACTACCACTACATCATGGAGAACCTCTTCCTGTGAGTGTCCGCCCGCGCCGGGCAGCCTCGGACCAGTCCTGATGCTTCCCTGGACACAGGGGCACCAGGCTGCCAGGACTGCACCGTCTGTGGCTCCAGGAAGCCTGCCTGGCACCAGGGAAGGGCGTGGCGGCCACAGACCTGGATCTGTCCCTGCTGGCCCCAGGCTCACAGTGGCCTTCCTTCTGGACCACCGGTTTTCCCCCTCCTCCTCCCCTTCCCCCTCCTCCTCCCCTTCCTCCTCCTCACCACTTCCTCCTCCTCCTCCTCTCCTCCTCCTCACCACTTCCTCCTCCTCCCCTCCTCCTCCTCTTCCTCCTCCCCCCAACTTCCTCCCCCTCCCCCTCCTTTCTCTTCCTCCCCTTGCTCCTCCTTCTTCCTCCCCCTCCCCCTCCTCTTTCTCCTCCTCCCCCTCCCCTTCCTCCACCTCCTTTTCCCCCTCCCTCGCCCTTCCTCCTCTTCCCCTTCCCCTTCCTCCTCCTGATCCTCCTCCTTCCCCCTCCTCCTCCCTGCTCCTCCCCTTCCTCCCTTCTTTCACTTTCTCCTCCTCCACCTTCCCTGCCCCTCCTCCTCTGCCTCCCTCTCTTCCCCCTCTCCCTCCTCCTCTCCTTCCCCATGCCCTTCCTCCTCCCCCTCCCCTGCCTCCCTCTCCTCCTCCTCTTCCTTCTCCCCTTCCTGTCTCTTCCTTTCTCCCTCCCCTCCTTCTGTTCCTCTTGTCTATCATTTATTGAGCACTTACTCTACGAGCTGAGGGCTTCCCATCTGCTGTCACACCCCACCCTGACCATAACGCTATAGGGTAGATACCATTGCCTCCCATTCTACGGGTAAGGACCCGCAGGACGGGCCAGGTTAGGAGGACTGCTTAAGGCCAGGAGTCTGAGACCAGCCTGGGCAATATAGTGAAACCCCATCTCTACAAAAAATACAAAAATGAGCTGGGTGTGGTGGCACACACCTGTAGCTCCAGGCATGGGACTACAGAGAGCTTGAGACCTGCCCAAAGACACACAGGTGTCGTTTTGTTATGACAGATACAGGAGATATACACACAGCAGCCAAGAGCTGATAGGCAGAGCCCATCATCATGACAACTCTTATCAATGTTACTTGATAAGAGTAACATTTCCAGCCTCAGGCCTGGCCCGGTGGCTCACGCCTGTAATCCCAGCACTTTGGGAGGCTGAGGTGGGAGGATCGCTTGAGCTCGGGAATTTGAGACCAGCCTGGCCAACATGGTGAAACCCCATCTCTACTGAAAATACAAAAACTTAGCCAGGCATAGTCTTGGGCACCTGTGGTCCCAGCTACTCAGGAGGCTGAGGCGGGAGAACTGCTTGAACGTGGGAGGCAGAGATGGCAGTGAGCTGAGACGGCGCCACTGCACTCCAGCCTGGGAGACAGAGTGAGACCCTGCCTCAGAAAAAAAAAAAAAAAAAAGCCGAGCATGGTGGCTCACGCCTGTAATCCTTCTGAAAAAAAGTTGTTTTTTTTCTTTTTGAGACAGAGTTTTGCCAGAGTTTTGCTCTGTCGCCCAGGCTGGAGTGCAATGGCACAATCTCGGCTCACCGCAACCTCTGCCTCCCAGGCTCAAGCGATTCTCCTGCCTCAGCCTCCCAAGTAGCTGGGACTACAGACGCCCACCACCATGCCCAGCTACTGTTGTATTTTTTAGTAGAGATGGGTTTCTCCATGTTTGTTGGGGTGGTCAGCACACTGGAAGGCTGAGGTGGGTGGGTGACTTGAGGTGACTGACCCACATCTCTACTGAAAATACAAAATTAGCCGGGCGTAGTGGTGCACGCCTGTAATCCCAGCCACTCGGGAGGCTGAGGCAGGAGAACCACTTGAACCCAGGAGGCGGAGGTTGCGGTGAGCTGAGATGGCGCCACTGCACTCCAGCCTGGGCAATGAGCGAAACTCCATTTCAAAAAAAAAAAAAAAAGACTCAACAAAAAGGTAACCACCCTATGAGGGTACCCGCTGGCACTCACGTGGGGTGTGCTGGGATCGTCTAGGCCCAATGCCCCCTGCAGTCCGCCAGGACAGGAGACAATGCCTGGACCGGTGGGGCTGGCCCAGCTGGGGCAGGGGTGGAGGTAGGCAGGGTGGGTACCACAGGTGTCCTGACACTGCCCCCCCCCACATTGGGTCCCTGCCTTCTGTGCCCCGGGAGCAGGTATGTCATCAGCAGCTTGGAGCTCCTGGTGGCCGAGGACTACATGATCGTGTACCTGAACGGCGCCACGCCCCGGCGGAGGATGCCTGGCATCGGCTGGCTGAAGAAGTGCTACCAGATGATCGATCGGAGGTGGGGGATGCCTCAGGACATGCCGGTGGGGTCGTGAAAACCACACAGGGGGCCGGGCGCAGGGGCTCATGCCTGGAATCCCAGCATTCTGGGAGGATGAGGTGGGCAGATCACCTGAGGCTGGGAGTTGAAGACCAGCCTGGCCAACATATAGTGAAATCCCATCTATACTTGAAAAATACAAAAATTAGCTGGGCATGGTGGTACATGCCTGTAATCCCAGATGCCTGGGAAGCTGAGGCAGGAGAATCGCTGGAACCCAGAGGGAGGAGGTTACAGTGAGCTGAGATCACACCACTGCACTCCCGCCTGGGCGACAGAGCCAGACTCTGTCCCCATGAAATGCTCACTCCCTATTCCTTCTCCCCAGGCCCTGGCACCACCACCCCATCCTACTTTCCATCTCTGTGAATCTGATGACTCTAGGGACTCCTAGGTCTGGAAACACACAGGATTTGTCCTTTGTGCCTGGCTTTTCTCACTAAGTATGGTGTCCTCAGGGTGCGTCCACATTGATGCCTGGGTCAGAGCCAGCCTCCTTTTCCTGGCTCCATAATATTCCATTGTATGGACATGCCACATTTGGTTTCTCCATTCTATTTATCTGTTTATGGACACGGGCTGCTTCCACCTCTGGGTTATCGTGAATAGCCACAGAGTGATGTTAAAATTGACCCAGCCAGGCCGGGCTCAGTGCCTCACGCCTGTAATCCTAGCCCTTTGGGAGGCCAAGGTGGGCGGATCACGAGGTCAGGAGATCAAGACTATCCTGGCCAACACAGTGAAACCCTGTCTCTACTAAAAATGCAAAAAAAAAAAAAAAATAGCCAGGCCTGGTGGCGTAAGCCTGTAGTCCCAGCTACTTGGAAGGCTGAGGCAGGAGAACCACTTGAACCTGGGAGGCGGAGGTTGGAATGAGCCAAGATCATGTCACTGCCCTCCAGCCTGGTGACAAAGTGAGACTCCATCTCAAATAAAAACAAACAAAAAATAACAATTGACCCAGGCAATCCATCCTTGCACCCAGCTTAGTGGAAGGAGGCCCTAAGGACAGGCTGGTCCCTCCTTGGGCATTAGGTGGTGAAAATACAATCTCAGCTGCTCAAATAACTACCCATCTGCTTCACGTCCTCCATGGGGTCTCTACCTACCTCATCCACCTTAGGGTCTGAGGGACTCCAAGGGTGTGTCTTTATCCTGCCACGGGACCCCCAGGTCTTGGATGGGGACGGGGATCTAACAGGTGCCTGGAGACCACATGTGGAATGAGCAGAATGCTTGCTTGTGGCTCCCCCGCCCCCACCCAACTCCGCCCTCCCCAGGGCTCGCCCCAGGAGCCCATCTCGCTTCCTTTGCGGCCCCATGCAGATTGCGGAAAAACCTGAAGTCCTTGATCATCGTCCACCCCTCGTGGTTCATTCGGACCGTGCTGGCCATCTCCCGCCCTTTCATCAGGTGAGATGGGAGGCTGCACCCTAAGGCCAGTAGCCCGAGTGTGTGTGTGTGTGTGTGTGTCTGTGTGAGTCTGTGTGCACACGCACCTGTGTGTGCATGCATGCATGCATTTCTGTGTACATCTATGTGTGCGTGTGTGCATGTGTGTGCATTCATGGGTGTGTGCACGTGCATGTTTGATCTGCATGTTCCAGCTTCTCTATGATAGCACATATTAATCACATATTATTGCTTTAAACGGTTTTATTTACTTATTTATTTTTGAGACAGAGTTTCGCTCTTGTTGCCCAGGCTGGAGTGCAGTGGCACGATCTCAGCTCACCAAAACCTCTGCCTCCCAGGCTCAAGCGATTCTCCTGCCTCAGCCTCCCACGTAGCTGGGATTACAGGCATGCGCCACCACGCCCAGCTAATTTTGTATTTTTAATAGAGATGGGGTTTTCTCCATGTTGGTCAGGCTGGTCTCGAACTCCCGATCTCAGGTGATCCACCCACCTCGGCTTCCCAAAGTGCTGGGATTACAGGTTCGAGCCACTGCACCCAGCCTTTAAACAGTTTTAAATTACACAAAGCCAGGTACAGTGGCTCATACCTGTAATCCCGGCTACTCAGAAGGCTGAGGCAGGAGGATCACTTGAGCCAAGAGGTCAAGGCTGCAGTGAGCTATGTCACTCCACTGCACTCCAGCCTGGGAAACAGAGCAAGACCTTGTCTCTAAAAATAAAATAGATATACATATGTATAGATAAATAATATGACTAATTGATACTAACAAATTTGAAACTATGCATATTATATAGTTACTATGTTAAGCATAGAGTAAAACAGATCAAGTGAAATAAAATTAGGCATGTTAAAGGCCAGGCGCAGTGGCTCAGGCCTGTAATCTCAGCACTTTGGAAGGCCAAGGCGGGCAGATCATGAGATCAGCAGTTCAAGACCACCCTGACCAACAGGGTAAAACCCGTCTCTACGAAAAATACAAAATCTAGCCAGGCGTGGTGGCACGTGCCTGTAGTCCCAGTTACTCAGGAGGCTGAGGCAGGGGAATTGATTGAACCCGGAGGCAGAGGTTGCAGTGAGCTGAGACTGCTCCACTACATTCCAGCCTGGGCAACAGGGTAAGGCTCCATCTTTAAAAAAAAAAAAAAAAAAAAAAAGGCAAGTTAAATGCTCTATTCAATCCAATAAAATGTCATACAAATTTAATTTACTCTAACACAAAACATTGAATTAAATAAAGATGCCTAATTTTCAGGTTCCCAGTTAAAAATCTGGGACGGGTGAAAGACAAGGGCTTCACTTTCCTTTGAATGACAGTACACATTCGTACCAGGCATGATTTTCAAGGAAGAGACTTTCAACATGCTGTTCTCAAGGACTCCCAAGTACGCTGAAGGAGCTTATTTACATATTAGTGAAATCAGATGAGGAATACGTTAATTATGGATCATTCGAGCTAATAATGAATCACGCAGGCAAAATGGTAAACACGCATTTCAGTTTAAGAGTATTGCATTTTCCGGCCGGGCACAGTGGCTCAAGCCTGTAATCCCAGCACTTTGGGAGGCCGAGGCGGGTGGATCACGAGGTCAAGAGATCGAGACCATCCTGGTCAACATGGTGAAACCCCGTCTCTACCAGAAATACAAAAAATTAGCTGGGCATGGTGGCGCGTGCCTGTAGTCCCAGCTACTCAGGAGGCTGAGGCAGGAGAATTGCCTGAACCCAGGAGGCGGAGGTTGCGGTGAGCTGAGATCGTGCCATTGCACTCCAGCCTGGGTAACAAGAGCGAAACTCCGTCTCAAAAAAAAAAAAAAAAAAAAAAGAGTATTGCATTTTCTCCTCTATATTGCAGAATTCAGTAGCACAGATTACCTTTGCCTTTCGTGTAGCTATTAGGACGGTACAAAAGTAACTGAGGTTCTTGCCATACTTTTCATTACAAAAACCACAATGCCTTTTGCACCAACCCAATAATTCTGTCACTCTTCGCCAGGCGCCATGGCTCACGCCTGTAATCCCAACAGTTTGGAAGATCAAGAGGAGAGGGTCGCTTGAGCCCAGGGGTACAAGACCAGCCTGGGCAACACAGCGAGACCCTGTCTCTACAAAAAAAAAATACGGCCGGGTGTGGTGACTCACGCCTGTAATCCTAGCATTTTGGGAGGCCAAAACAGGCAGATCACTTGAGGTCAGGAGTTCAAGACCAGCCTGGCAAACATGGGATGAGGCCGGGCGTGGTGGGTCACACCTGTTAATCCCAGCACTTTGAGAGGTTGAGGCATGCAGATCACTTGAGGTCAGGACTTTGAGACCAGTCTGGCCAACATGGTGAAACTCCATCTCCGCCGGGCGCGGTGGCTCACGCCTGTAATCCCAGCGCTTTGGGAGGCCGAGGCGGGTGGATCACGAGGTCAAGAGATCGAGACCACCCTGGTCATCATGGTGAAACCCCGTCTCTACTGAAAATACAAAAAAAATTAGCTGAGCATGGTGGCGCGTGCCTGTAATCCCAGCTACTCAGGAGGCTGAGGCAGGAGAATTGCCTGAACCCAGGAGGCGGAGGTTGCGGTGAGCTGAGATCGCGCCATTGCACTCCAGCCTGGGTAACAAGAGGGAAACTCCGTCTCAAAAAAAAAAAAAAGAAACTCCATCTCCACTAAAGATACAAAATGAGCTGGGAGTGGTGGTGTATGCCTGTAATCCCAGCTATTCCGGAGGCTGAGGCAAGGAAAATCACTTGATCCCGGGAAGGGGAGGTTGCAGAGAGCTGAGACTGCATTACTGCACTCCAGCCTGGGTGACAGAGCGAGACTCTGTCTCAAGAAAAAAACAAACAGGCCGGGCACGGTGGCTCATGCCTGTAATCCCAGCACTTTGGGAGGCAGAGGCCGGTGGATCGCCTGAGGTCTAGCCTGAACGACATAGTGAAACACCGTCTCTACTAAAAATATAAAAAATTAGCCGGGCGTGGTAGCGGGTGCCTGTAGTCCCAGCTACTCGGGAGGCTGAGGCAGGAGAATCACTTGAACCCAGGAGGCGGAGGTTGCGATGAGCCGAGATTGCTCCATTGCACTCCAGCCTGGGCAACAGGAGCAGGACTCCCTCTCAAAAAAATAAAAAGAAACAACAAAGAGTCAATCGGCAGCCGCAGGTGCCCTATACCTGTGCCCAACTAAGTATTGGCTATGGCGTCCTGCGCAGTGACACAGAGAGAAAGCATTCTCGGGAAAAATTAACACAGAGAGCAACTTTTAGAGATGACGGGTAAACAGCCTAGAGCCCCAGAGCATCTCCTCCCCTCCTGACTTCCTTCCAACCAGATCGTCACTGCAGGGACCCATGTCAGGTGCACCGCCCTGCTTGTAAGGGCTTCGGGGCAGAGCAGGGGTCTCCACCCCGCCCACAGAGGCAGGAGAATTAGGCTGGCATTGGGCGGGAGGAAGATGAGGCCTTCTGCACTGGGGCATCCTGGAGTGAGGTCCTGCGGGCATCCCTGTCACCACGGCTCCGTCTGGACCTAGGTAACCCCCACCCCCAACCCACAGGCTGCGTTTCAGACCTCTCCCTCCTTCTCCCACTGCCAGCGTCAAGTTCATCAACAAGATCCAGTACGTGCACAGCTTGGAAGACCTGGAACAACTCATCCCCATGGAACACGTCCAGATCCCAGACTGCGTCTTGCAGTGAGTAGCCCCACACCCCTCCCCGCCATATTCGTCCGTTCTCGGGCTGCTGATAAAGACCTAAGACTGGGCATTTTACAAGAGGTTTAATGTACTCACAATTCCACGTGGCTGGGGAGGCTTCACAATCATAGCGGAAGGCAAAAGGCACGTCACGCAGGGCGGCCGACAAGAGAGGGAATCTTGGAACCGGAAATGCCCCTTTATAAAGCCATCAGCTCTCGTGAGACTTACTCACTATCACGGGACTAGCACAAGGAAGACCCGCCCCCCACGATTCAATAACCTCCCGCCAGGTCCCGCCCACAACACGGGGGAATTGCGGGGGATACAATTCAAGATAAGATTTGGGTGGAAGGCCCCGTGCGGTGGCTAGCGCCTCTAATCCCGGCACTTTGGGAGGCTGAGGCGGGTAGATCACGAGGTCAGGAGAGCCAGACCATCCTAACCAACGTGGTGCAACCCGGTGTCTACTAAAAGACAAAAAAATTAGCCTGGTGTCGTGGCCGGTGCTTGCTATCCCAGCTACTCAGGAGGCTGAGGCAGGGGAGTTGCTTGAACCCAGGAGGGAGAGGTTGAAGTGACCCAAGATCGCGCCACTGCATTCCAGCCTGGCGACAGAGCAAGACTCCGTCTCAAAAAAAAAAAAAAAGTTTTGGGTGGAGACACACCCAAACCATATCACCCCCATCCCTCCCACCAACCTGGTCCCCCTGGCTGCCAGGAGCCAGCAAAAAGGGGAAACATAGACTTGGAACGGGGGCACTAGAACACACCCATTTTCTTTCCTGGAGCCCCTCAGGGACCACCTGGAGCTTGGGGAAGGAAAGGATGAACAGCATCAAGTCGTGTTCTTTTCTCACGGAGTCACATCATTAACACTTCCCCATAGGTTCATGTTGCAAACGTCTTCTTAGACAACCGTTTTTTTAAAATGTAAAATACACATAACATAGAAGTTGCCATCCTAACCATCCTAACACATTTCAGTGACATTAAGCATATTCGTATTTTGTGCAGCCATTACCACCATCTACTCTGGAACTTTTTTTTTTTTTTTTTTTTTTTTTTTGAGACGGAGTTTTGCTCTTGTTACCCAGGCTGGAGTGCAATGGCGAGATCTCGGCTCACCGCAACCTCTGCCTCCTGGGTTCAGGCAATTCTCCTGCCTCAACCTCCTGAGTAGCTGGGATTACAGGCAGGCACCACCATGCCCGGCTAATTTTTTGTATTTTTGGTAGAGATGGGGTTTCACCATGTTGACCAGGATGGTCTCGATCTCTTGACCTTGTGATCCACCCGCCTTGGCCTCCCAAAGTGCTGGGATTACAAGCTTGAGCCACCGCGCCCAGCTTTTTTTTTTATTTTTTTAGATGGAGTCTTGTTCTGTTGCCCAGGCTAAAGTGTAGTGATACCATCTCAGCTCACTGTAACCTCTGCCTCCCATGTTCAAGCGATTCTCCTGCCTCAGCTTCCCAAGTAGCTGGGATTACAGGCACCCACCACCACGCCCGGGTAATTTTTGTATTTTTAGTAGACAGGGTTTCACCATGTTGGCCATGCTGGTCTCGAACTCCTGACCTTAGGTGATCCACCTACCCCAACCTCCCAAAGTGCTGGGATTACAGGCATGAGCTACTGTGCCTGGCCCTCTCCAGAACCTTATCTTCTCAAACTGAAACTCTGTCCCCGTGAAACACTCAGTCCCCAGGTTCTAGGGACCTCCTAGGGGTGGAACCACACGGTATTTGTTTTTTTGTGTCTGACGTCTCATCACCTTGAGTGTGATGTCCTCAAGGTGTATCAAGGTGCATCCACCCTGTAGCCGGTGTCAGAATTTCCTTCATTTTCATGGCTGAATAATTTTTTTCTTTTTTGAGATGGAGTCTCACTCTGTCGCCCAGGCTGGAGTGCAGTGGCGCTATCTCGGCTCATTGCAACCTCTGCCTCCGGGTTCAAGCCATTCTCCTGCCTCAGCCTCTGGAGGAGCTGGCACTACAGGTGCATGCCACCACGCCCAGCTACTTTTTTTGTATTTTTAGTAGAGACGGGGTTTCACTACATTGGCCAGTCTGGTCTCTAACGACTGGTCTCGAACTCCTGACCTCAGGTGATCCACCTGCCTCAGCCTCCCAAAGTGCTGGGATGACAGGCGTGAGCCACCGAGCCCGATCTGTCTTTGTTGTTGTTGTTTTTTGAGATGAAGTCTCGCTCTGTCACCCAGGCTGGAGTGCAATGGCTTGGTCTCCTCTCACCATATCCTCCACTTTCCAGGTTCAAGCAATTCTCCTGCCTCAGCCTCCGAAGTAGCTGGGATTACAGGCGCCTGTCACCATGCCTGGCTAATTTTTGTATTTTTACTAGATATAGGGTTTTACTGTGCTGCCCAGGCTGGTCTCGAACTCCTGAGCTCAGGTGATCTGCCCACCTCTGCCTCCCAAATTTCTGGGATTAGAGGTCCGAGCCACCATGCCCAGCCGACACAAACATTTATAATCAAAAATGCATCTATGGGCCAGGTGTGGTGGCTCACACCTTTAATCCCAGCCCTTTGGGAAGCTGAGGCCAGAGGATTGCTTGGGCCCAGGAGTTGGAGACTGCAAGTGAGATCGCACCACTGCACTCCAATCTGGACTATGACAGAATGAGATCCTCTCTGAAAACAAAAGAGAAACGATAGAAAAAAGACAGCTTGTTTCTCCTCTTGATAAGGGAAGGGAATGCCGGGTACATTGGCTCACACCTGTAATCCCAGCACTTTAGGAGACCTTGGTGGGTGGATCATCAGGTCAGGAGTTCAAGATCAGCCTGGCCAAGATGATGAAACCCCATCTTTACAGAAAATACAAAAAAAAAAAAAAAAAAAAAAAAATATCCAGGCATGGTGGCGCACGCCAACTACTCCGGGAAGCTGAGGCAGAGAATTGCTTGAATCTGGGAGGCGGAGGTTGCAGTGAGCCAAGATAGCACCACTGCACTCCAGCCTGGGTGACAGAGTGAGACTCTGTCTCAAAAAAATAAAGAAAATAAAGAAAAAGGAAAAGGGAAGGGAATTCCCCCAGAAAGTATATCTCAGGGGAAAGGAAAGTTGCGTCTGATGTCTTTTTCTTTCTTTCAGATACGAAGAGGAAAGACTGAAGGCCAGGAGGGAGAGGTGTGTGCCGAGGGGACTCTGCTGGGGCTGGGTTGGGGCAGCGGGGCTGAGCCTGACTCTCAGTTAGGGCAACCCGGAGACTTCCACTGAGCAGGGACCATTGTCCCTGGCAGGGCTCAGGATGCTGCCTTCTGCCAAGGACTTTAAACTCAGACCTGCATTCAAATCCCGGCTCCCACATTTAGCTACAGAGTGACATTATGCAAATAAAAAGCTAACAACCGCCTTGGAGGTTATTGTGGAAGATGACGGACCCTTGGCAGAAAGAACGAGCACGTACTTCAGGCTCCACAAAGCATACGAGTCAGGCCGGGCTCAGGAGCTCACGCCTGTAATCCCAGCACTTTGGGAGGCCAGGACAGGAGGATCCCCTGAGGTCAGGAGTTTGGGACCAGCCTGGGCAACACGGCATAACCCCATCTCTACCAAAAATACAAAAATTAGCCGGGGGTGGTGGTGCATGCCTGTAGGCCCAACTACTTGGGAGGCTGAGGCAAGAGAATCACTTGAACCCGGGAGGTGGAGGCTGCAGTGAGCCGAGATCGCACCACTGCACTCAAGCCTAGGCGACAGAGCAAGACTCCATCTCAAAAAAAAACAAAATTAGCCAGTCGTGGTGGCATGCGCCTGGAGTTCAGCTACGTGGGGGGAGACTGAATCGGGGAGATTGCTTGATCCCAGGAAGTTGAGGCTGCAGTGAGCCATGACTGCACCGCTGCACTCCAACCTGGGCCACAGAGCAAGACCCTGTCTCACAAAACAAAACAAAAAACAGGCTTTATCATGCTAGGTAGGGAAACAGAGGCAAATAAGACAGAGTCTCGGTCCCAGAAGTTTTGTCAAATAGCAAAGATGAGGAACATCTCACTGGTTCAGAAAACAGGTCCCAGGGACAGGAAATCAGAGAAGCTGGTGGCAACCAAGAGCCCCTTGGCCTGGCCCAGCCAGTCACCCTTGTCACCTCGTTCTCTCTGTCCACAGCGCAAGGCCCCAGCCGGAGTTCCTGCTGCCCAGGTGTGAAGAGAAGCCAGAGGAGGCCCCAATGGAAAACAGGTAGGTACGCAGGGGACCGGAGTGGAGAGCTGGCAGCCGTGAGAGGCTGGGGAGGAGGGAGGGACCTCATTCAGGAACAGAAAATGGAACTAAGTGGCCAGGGCACGGTGGCTCACACCTATAATCCCAGCACTTTGGGAGGCTGAGGCGGGCGAATCACATGAGGTCAGTAGTTCGAGACCAGCCAGGCCAGCATGGCGAACTCTCATCTCTACTAAAAATACAAAAATTAGCTGGGCGTGGTGTCGCACATCTGTAATCCCATCCCAACTACTTGGGAGGCTGAGGCCGGAGATTTGCTTGAACCCGGGAGACAGACGTTGCAGTGAGCCAAGGTCATGCCGCTGCACTCCGTGACAAAGAAGTGAGACTCCTTCTCAAATAAATAACATAAAAATAAAAATTATCTAGGTATGGACCGGGCACGGTGGCTCACGCCTGTAATCTCAGCACTTGGGGAGGCTGAGGCGGGTGGATCATGAGGTCAAGAGATGGAGACCATCCTGGCCAATATGGTGAAACCCCGTCTCTACTAAAAATACAAAATTGGCCGGGTATGGTGGCTCACACCTTTAATCTCAACACTTTGGGAGGCCAAGGCAGGCAGATCGCTTGAGGTCGGGAGTTTGAGACCAGCCCGACCAACATGGAGAACCCCATCTCTACTAAAGACACAAAACTAGCTGGGCATGGTGGCACATGCCTGTAATCCCAGCTACTTGGGAGGCTGAGGCAGGAGAATCGCTTGAACCGGAGAGGCAGAGGATGCAGTGAGCCGAGATTGTGCCATTGCACTCCAGCCTGGACAACAAGAGTAAAACTCCATCTCAAAAAAAAAAAAAAAAAAGCCAGACGAGGTTGCTTACGTCTGTAATCCCAGCATTTTGGGAGGCCAAGGCTGGCAGATCACGAGGTCAGGAGATCGAGACCATCCTGGCCAACATGGTGAAACCCCGTCTCTACTAAAAATACAAAAAAAATTAGCTGGGTGTGGTGGTGGTGTGCCTGTAGTCCCAGCTAATCCTGAGACTGAGGCAGGAGAATTGCTTGAGCCCAGGAGGTGGAGATTGCAGTGAGCTGAGATTGCACCACTGTACTACAGCCTGGGTGACAGTGCGAGACTCTGTTTCAAAAAAAAAAAAAAAAAAAAAAAATTAACTGGGCATGATGGTGCATGCCTGTAGTCCCAGGTACTCAGGAGGCTGAGGCAGAATTGCTAGAACCCAGGAGGTGGAGGTTTCAGTGAGCCGAGATCGCACCACTGCATTCCAGCCTGGCAAAAGAGTGAGACTCCGTCTCAAAAAAAAAAAAAAAAAAAAATTATCCAGGTATGGTGATGTACACCTGTGGTCCCAGCTACTCAGAAGGCTGAGGCAGGCGGATGGCTGGAGACCAGGAGGTCAAGGCTGCAGCGAGCTGTGATCGCACTCCAGCCTGGGCAACAGAGCAAGACCCTGTCTCAAAAAAAAAAAAAAAAAAAAAAAAAAAACTTATCATGATTGTTCTCATATTATTGTAATCTCAATGTTATCATAATGATGAAAGGTGACCTGTGTCCAAGTGCCAGCAGGTAGACTCAGACTCCCCAAGTCCAGCAGACCCTCAGCAATATGATTGGTTTCACTTTGTGTTAATGAAAGACTTTGGCCAAGCTCCTCAAAACCATCTGCTCAGGCTCATTTGTTATGCAGCAGGTGCACGCTGACCTGTTTTCTACCCGAGACAGCCGTGCTGGTCCTCACAGGGCTCACAGCCTCCACCAACAAGCAGAAAATGCCCAAGAATGGACACTGTGGTTCACGCCTATAATCCCAGCACTCTGGGAGGCCAAAGCAGGAGGACCATTTGAGGCCAGGAGTTTGAGACCAGCTTGGGCAACACAGTGAGACCCCATCTTTACAAACAATTTTTTTTTTTTTTTTTTTGAGACGGAGTTTCGCTCTTGTTACCCAGGCTGGAGTGCAATGGCACGATCTCGGCTCACCGCAACCTCCGCCTCCTGGGTTCAGGCAATTCTCCTGCCTCAGCCTCCTGAGTAGCTGGGATTACAGGCATGTGCCACCATGCCCAGCTAATTTTTTGTATTTTCAGTAGAGACGGGGTTTCACCATGTTGACCAGGATGGTCTCGATCTCTCAACCTCGTGATCCGCCCGCCTTGGCCTCCCAAAGTGCTGGGATTACAGGCTTGAGCCACCGCGCCCGGCCCTACAAACAATTTAAAAATTAGCCAGGCATGATGGTGTGTACCTGGAGTCCCAGCTACTTGGGAGGCTCAGATGGGAGGCTCACTTGAGCCCTGGAGTTGCAAGCTACAGTGAGCCACCATCCTGCCACGGCACTCCAGCCTGGGCAACATAACAAACCCTGTATCTTTTATTTATTTATTTACTTATTTTGAGACAGAGTTTCACTCTTGTCACCCAGGGACTGGAGTGTAATGGCACTATCCCGCTCACTGCAACCTCTACCTCCCAGGTTCAAGCAATTCTCCTGCCTCAGCCTCCCAAGTAGCTGGGACTACAGGCGCCTGCCACCACACCTAACTAATTTTTTTTTTTTTTTTTTTTTTTTTTTTTTTGAGACAGAGTTTTGCTCTTGTTACCCAGGCTGGAGTGCAATGGCGCGATCTCGGCTCACCGCAACCTCCGCCTCCTGGGTTCAAGCAATTCTCCTGCCTCAGCCTCCTAAGTAGCTGGGATGACAGGCACGCGCCACCATGCCCACCTAATTTTTTTTTTGTATTTTTAGTAGAGACGGGGTTTCACCATGTTGACCAGGATGGTCTCGATCTCTCGACCTCGTGATCCACCCGCCTCGGCCTCCCAAAGTGCTGGGATTACAGGCTTGAGCCACCGCGCCCGGCCCATAACTTTTGTATTTTTAGTAGAGATGCGGTTTCACCATGTTGGCCAGGCTGGTCTCAAACTCTTGACCTCAGGTGATCCACCCGCGTCAGCCTCCCAAAGTGCTGGGATAACGGGCATGAGCCACCGTCCTCCAAAACCCCGTATCGTATTATTACTCTTTATTTTTTATTTTTAAATTTCTTTTCCTGGAAACTTTAATGGACCCTGTATTTTTTAAAAATTATAATAATTCGGGGGCCGGGCGCGGTGGCTCAAGCCTGTAATCCCAGCACTTTGGGAGGCCGAGGCGGGTGGATCACGAGGTCGAGAGATCGAGACCATCCTGGTCAACATGGTGAAACGCCGTCTCTACTAAAAATACAAAAAATTAGCTGGGCATGGTGGCGCGTGCCTGTAATCCCAGCTACTCAGGAGGCTGAGGCAGGAGAATTGCCTGAACCCAGGAGGCGGAGGTTGCGGTGAGCCGAGATCGCGCCATTGCACTCCAGCCTGGGTAACAAGAGCGAAACTCCGTCTCAAAAAAAAAAAAAAAAAAAAAAATTATAATAATTCAAACAAAAAACAGGAAAATTTCCAGGCTCCCCAAAATAGGCACATAATGCCCCATCTCCATCTGTCCTCCACAGGTCTGCTCCAGTCACAGAAGAAGATCAGGAAGCAAGGTGGGTATGGGGCAGGGGGGTCTTGGTGCTGTTTTCAGGATCTCCTACACGGAGCCTGTATCGGCTGGGATTCTCTAAAGCAGGCGTCCCCAGACTTTTTACACAGGGGGCCAGTTCACTGTCCCTCAGACTGTTGGAGGGCTGCCATATACTGTGCTCCTCTCACTGACCACCAATGAAAGAGGTGCCCCTTCCTGAAGTGCGGCGGGGGGGCGGATAAATGGCCTCAGGGGGCCGCATGTGGCCCGCGGGCGTAGTTTGGGGACGCCTGCTCTAGAGGGACAGAAAATCGAATCAGCTGCCAGCGAATACAAAGCAGGCAGAGAGCCTAACCCCAGGAAAACTCCCCTGTGACTTATTGGGAGTGGGGGACACAGCATGGGGGAGGCAGGGAGGTGTGGTTCCCTTAACCAGTCAGGCCGTCCCTGCACAACTCCAGGGGGCGCCATGACATAGACCAGGACACAAATGATGCCCCAGAGCTCTGCAGTAGGGCAGCCCTAAAGGAAAAACTCGCACAGAGCCAGGCTCCCTGAAGGATGTGACACCATGAAGGGTGGACTGTCCACAATCTACCTCAGAACCTCCACTTGGTTGTGGATGCCAGGAAAAGCCACCCTGTGGCCAGGCACGGTGGCCTATAATCCCAGCATTTTGGGAGGCCAAGGCAGGCAGATCACTTGAGGTCAGGAGTTTAAGACCAGCCTGGGCAACATGGCAAGACCCTGTCCCTACAAAAAATACAAAACTTAGGCTGGGCCTGGTGGCTCACGCCTGTAATCCCAGCACTTTGGGAGCTCAGGCAGGTGGATCACCTGAGGTCACGAGTTTGAGACCAGCATGGCCAACATGGTGAAACCCTGTCTCTACCCCCACAAAAAAAAAAAGAAAAAAAAAAAATAAAAAAAAAAAATAAAATTAGCCAGGCGTGGTGGTGGGCTCCTGTAGTCCCAGCTACTCGGGAGGCTGAGGAAGGAGAATTGCTTCAACTTGGGAGGTGGAGGTTGCGGTCAGCCGAGATTGTGCCGCTACGCTCCAGCCTGGGAGAAAAAAGCAAAACTCGGTCTCAAATGTATACATATATATATGTTAGCCAGGTGAGCCAAGATCGCACCACTGCTCTCCGCACTCCACAGCCTGGGCAATAGAGCTACACTTTGTCTCAAAAAAGAGAAAAAAAAAACAGGAAAGAAAAGCCTCCCTGTGTGTTGTTTCCAAGGGTCCCCGCAGGTGCAACAGTTTGCTAGATGGACTCACAGCCTTCTAGCTTAGGGTTCATCACAGTGAAATGGTTTGTTACGGTGGAAGGGTACAGGTAAAAATCAGGAAAAGGCTGGGCGCGGTGGCTCATGCCTGTGATCCCAGCACTTTGGGAGGCTGAGGCTGGGGGATCACCTGAGGTCAGGATTTCAAGGCTGGCCTGGCCAACATGGTGAAACTCCATCTCTAGCAAAAAGACAAAATTAGCTGGGCGTGGTGGCGCACACCTGCAGTCCCAGCTACTCAAGAGGCTGAAGCAGGAAAATTGCTTGAACCTGGGAGGCAGAGGTTGCAGTGAGCTGAGACTGCGCCATTGCACTCCAGCCTGGGTGACAGAGTTAGACTCTGTCTCTAAAAAATAATAATAACAAAAGAAAAAAATAAATAAAAATACTTAAAAAACTAGCTGGGTGTGGTGGCATGCACCTGTAATCCCAGTTACTCAGGAGGCTGAGGCACAAGAATCGCTTGAACCTGGGAAGCAGCGATTGCAGTGAGCCGAGATCATGCCACTGCACTCCAGCCTGGGCAATAGAGCAAGACTCTGTTAAAAAAAAAAAAAAAAAATCAACAGGCCGGGCGCCTAAATGCCTGTAATCCCAGCACTTTGGGAGGCCGAGGCAGGTGGATCACGAGGTCAAGAGATCGAGACCATCCTGGCCAACATGGTGAAACCCAGTTTCTACTAAAAAAAACACAAAAATTAGCTGGGCATGTTGGTGCACGCCTGTAGTCCCAGGTACTCAGGAGGCTGAGGCAGGAGAATTGCTTGAACTCAGGAGTCAGAGATTGCAGTGAGCCGAGATTGCACCATTGCACTCCAGCCTGGTGCCTAGTGACAGAGTGAGAGTCTGTCTCAAAAAAAAAAAAAAAAAAATCAACAAAAGGAAGAGGTGCATAGAGCAGGATCCAGGAGAGACCGGGTGGAAGCTTCCAAGTGTCCTCTCCCAGCGGGACTGTGTGGACAGCCTTTATTTCTCCCAGCAGGGCTGTGTGGCCAAACACACAAAGTGCTGCTAGTTAGAGAAGCTCACCCGTGCTGTGGTGACTAGGGTGTTCATTAAGAGTCAACCATATACACCTGGCTGACCGTCTTCATGACCGCTCTTAGCCTCTAGCCCCTCCACAGATCAAGCTGGTCCCACGGGGCCCGAGTCCCACCCTAAGTCACCTTGTGAGTATATTAATCCGTTCCCATGCTGCTATGAAGCAAAACCCAAGACTGGGTAATTTATAGAGAAAAGAGGTTTCATTGACTCACGGTTCTGCATGGCTGGGAGGCCGCTGGAAACTTACAATCATGGCACGAGGCGCCTCTTCACAGGGCGGCAGGAGAGAGAAGCGCTGAGCAAAAAGGGGAAAAGACCCTTATAAAACCATCAGATCTCGGCCGGGCGCAGTGGCTCACGCCTGTCATCCCAACACTTTGGGAGACCGAGGCAGGTGAATCACGAGGTCAGGAGATTGAGACCATCCTGGCTAACACAGTGAAACCCCATCTCTACTAAAAATACAAGAAATTAGCTGGGCTTGGTGGCGGGTGCCTGTAGTTCCAGCTACTTGGGAGGCTGAGGCAGGAGAATCACTTGAACCCAGAAGGCAGAAGTTGCAGTGGCCACTGCACTCTAGCCTGGCGACAGAATGAGACTCCATTTCAAAAAACACGCCCGTGATTTAGTCACCTCCCACTGGGTCCCTCCCACAACACGTGAGCATTATGGGAACTGCAATCCAAGATGAGATTTGGGTGGGGACAGAGCCCAACCACATCATTTAGCATAGACTCTCTGGCATGACCCAAGGTCCCCAGGTAAACAAAGACAGTCCCGGCTGGATGCTCCAAGACTTTCAAGGTTACTCCCAGGAGCCAGGCAAGGGCCAGACTTTTCTTTTTTTTTTTTTTTTTTTTTTTTTGAGACGGAGTTTCGCTCTTGTTGCCCAGGCTGGGGTGCAATGGCGCGATCTCCGCTCACCGCAACCTCCGCCTCCTGGGTTCAGGCAATTCTCCTGCCTCAGCCTCCTGAGTAGCTGGGATTACAGGCACACGCCACCATGCCCAGCTAATTTTCAGTATTTTTAGTAGAGACGGGGTTTCACCATGTTGACCAGGATGGTCTCGATCTCTTGACCTCGTGATCCACCCGCCTCGGCCTCCCAAAGTGCTGGGATTACAGGCTTGAGCCACTGCGCCCGGCCCAGACTTTTCTTTAGAATGTGTGGGATTTATCCTTGACCACACAGTCTTTTTTTTTTTTTTGAGACGGAGTTTCGCTCTTGTTACCCAGGCTGGAGTGCAATGGCGCGATCTCGGCTCACCGCAACCTCCGCCTCCTGGGTTCAGGCAATTCTCCTGCCTCAGCCTCCTGAGTAGCTGGGATTACAGGCACGCGCCACCACGCCCAGCTAATTTTTTGTATTTTTAGTAGAGACGGGGTTTCACCATGTTGACCAGGATGGTCTCGATCTCTCGACCTCGTAATCCACCCGCCTCGGCCTCCCAAAGTGCTAGGATTACAGGCTTGAGCCACCGCGCCCGGCCCCTTTTTTTTTTTTTTTTTTTTTTTTTGAGACGGAGTTTCGCTCTTGTTACCCAGGCTGGAGTGCAATGGTGCGATCTCGGCTCACCGCAACCTCCGCCTCCTGGGTTCAGGCAATTCTCCTGCCTCAGCCTCCTGAGTAGCTGGGATTACAGGCACACGCCACCATGCCTAGCTGACTTTTTGTATTTTTAGTAGAGATGGGGTTTCACCATGTCGACCAGGATGGTCTCGAACTCTCGACCTCGTGATCCACCCACCTCGGCCTCCCAAAGTGCTGGGATTACAGGCTTGAGCCACCGCGCCCGGCTTTTTTTTTTTTTTTTAAAGATAGGGTTTCACCATGATGGCCAGGCTGGTCTTGAACTCCTGACCTCAGGTGATCCACCTACCTCAGCCTCCCAAAGTGCTAGGATTACAGGCGTGAGCCACCGCGCCTGGCCCACCACAGTCTTATACAAATCTATGACATGGCCTGACCACATGCCTTACTACCCATGTGACCCAGGAAGCTCCAAGCTAAGAAATAAACATCAAAAACGGTCACAGACCAGTGCTGCTTCAGGGGCACTGAGTAAAAGCAGGTTCTCAATGTATTTCTGAAAAGACCACCTCAACCCATGCTCTGTGAACCCATCTGGAGATGAGTTCACATATACAGACAGGAAACACAAGGAAATCATCCACCATGAGCAAAAGACAGCAGAGACAACAAACGGCAGAACTGGATCCTGCCTGGAGATGCTTAGGTGAAGAAGATATAATAAGCATGTTTTAAAAGATTAAAAACACAAAAGAAGGAATTGTAAGGAGCAACAGGTGAATGGATGAATGGATAGGTGGATGGATGGATGGATGGATGGATGGACAGATGGATAAATGGATGGATGAGTAGATGGATGGAAGGATGGATGGATGATGAGTGGATGGGTGGATGGATAGATGAGTGAGTGGGTGGATGGGAGGATAGATGGATGATGGGGTGAATGGATGGATGGATGGATGGTTGGATGGTTGGATGGATGGATGGTTGGATGGATGGATGGATGGATGGATGGATGGATGGATGGACGGATGGGAGGATAGATGGATGATGGGGTGGATGGGTGGGTGGATGGTTGGATGGATGTTTGGATAGATGGGTGGGTAGATGAATGGATGGGTAGAGGGATGGAAAGATGGGTGGATGAACAGATGAATGGGTAGGCAGATGGATGGGTGAATGGGTAGATGAATGGTTGGTTGGATAAATGGGGTAGATAAATGGGTGAGTAGATGGATGGGCAGATGGATGAATGGATGAGTGGGTAGGTGAGTGGACGAACGGATGGATGACAGATGGGTGGGTTAGATGGCTGGGTGAGTGGGTGGGTGGATGGGTGATTAGATGGATGAGTGGCTGGATGGGTGGGCAGATGGATGAATGGGTGGGTGAATGGATAGATGTGTTGGTGGTTGTAGGGTTCGCTGGATGGATGGGTGAGTGGCTGGATGGGTGGGCAGATATATGTATGGATGAGTGGGTGGGTGGATGGATGGGTGAGTGGATGAGTGGGTAGATGAATGGGTGGATGGGGGGGTGGGTGGATGGATGATTGAGTGGGTGGGTGGATAGATGTGCTGTTGGATGGAAGGGTGAGTGAATGGATGGGTTGAAGCCTCCGTCCGGGCTGACTGAGGGTACCAGTCTCCAGGCCTGTTCTGCTGGGGCACCAGGAAGGAGGCCCTCAGAGCCACACTTAGAAAGTGGGTGGCAAGAGCCTAGTCCTGAGGGTAAGTGCCGCTCTTGCTGCTGGGAACTCACCCACACCGAGTGGGATCATTCTTTCAGCTTCCATACGTGTGGAAGAGCATTTCGCACTTTTAACATTAACAGTAATAACAGGGCCTGGTGTAGTGGCTCACGCCTGTAATCCTAGCACTTTGGGAGGCCAAGGTGGGTGGATCACCTGAGGTCAGGAGTTTGAGACCAGCCTGGCCATCATGGTGAAACCCCATCTTAAAAAAAAAAAAAAAAAAAAAAAAAAACAGTAATAACTTGACCTGTGTGTCTCCCTCCCTAGCATGTCCTGAGGTGACGTGAGCATAATGAAGGACATGGAAGAAGATTCCAGATGCCAGGAAACCTCTGTCGGACGCCCACTGGCCCCAGATCTCACCCTGCCTCCTCCTGATCCCAGTCTTCCAAGGCTGCCAGCCCCTCCATTCATCTCTGAAACCCAGCATCCTTTTTCGCTGCTTGAAAACATTGTATTTTTTTTTTTTAATGATGCAGTATTTGTGCATTCCAGAAAAGGGCCCATCTTTGACTGCCACTCCTTTCCACACGCAGGAGTGGCTGTGAGGCCCCGGTGGCCTCCGCTCCTGCTCCCAGCCCCTGTGGTCAGAGCTGGATACAAGATTCAAGACCCTTCTCTTGCTTGTCACCTGCTCCAGGTTGGAGCCACAGACACCCACCGCCACCCCGGCTGGGTCTGCGTCCTTTCCTGTGCCTTTCCCCCCAGAACGTGGCCCTGGACCTGGAAACTCAACCCCCATAGGAGGGTCACGTCCTGGGGTACCTCCTGGCCTCCGACCTTATATCCAAAATTCACACCAGTGGTTTTGCATTTAACCCGCCTCCTCCTCGCTCATAGTGACACCCAGCTCTTTGAGAAGCTCAGAGCCCATTCACAAGAAGGGCCGCTGCCAACCATCCTTGTCCTACGATTGCAAAATGACGCCCCAGAAATCTAGACCTTCTCAAGCCTCTTTAATTCAGACACCAAGCCACAGGGCAAACCCAGTCAATATGTCCCACCGAGAAATGAGACATGCTGACCTTCGCCGGGTGCGGTGACTCACGCTTGTATTCCCAGCACTGCGGGAGGCGGAGATGGGTGGATCACGAGGTCAGGAGCTCAAGACCAGCCTGGCCAACATGGTGAAACCCTGTATCTACTAAATATACAAAAATTAGCGGGGTGTGGTGGCAGGCGCCTGCAATCCCAGCTACTCAGGAGGCTGAGGCAGGAGCATCGCCTGAACCCGGGAGGTGGAGGTTGCAGTAAGCCGATATAGTGCCATGGCATTCCAGCCTGGGCCACAAGAACAAGACTGTGTCTGAATAAAAAAAGAGAGAGAGAGAGATGCTGACCTCGATGCTTCCCCGACCCAGCATCGGGCTGGGACACACCAACACTGTTCCAGGTTGGAACAGAAGAGGCTCAGAAGCCAGCTCTGAAACAGGCAGACCTAGCAAAAGGAAGATACAGGGGATTGGATGTCAGAGTGTTTCAGAAGTCACTTGGGAAGATAAATCCAGTGTGCTGGCTGCAGCCACTTGCATTCAAAGCTTGGACCAGCGGGTTCTTGTTCAGGAGGCAAATTTCCCTTGGAGAAAAAAAAAAAGACAAGACTTTTCTAATGCGGTCCAAACGCCCGTCACTGGTCAGATGGACTCCAGAAGCAGCGAAAAGGCTGGGCTGGGAGTGGTGGCTCATGCCTGTAATGCCAGCACTTTGGGAGGCCGAGGCAGGCAGATCACCTGAGGTCAAGAGTTCAAGACCACCCTGGCCAACAGGGTGAAACCTCATCTCTACTAAAAATACAAAAATTAGCCAGGCGTGGTGGTGAGTGCCTGTGATCTCAACTACTTGGGAGACTGAGGCATATGTGTCACTTAAACCTGAGAGGTGGAGATTGCAGTGAGCCAAGATCATGCCATCGCACTCCAGCCTAGATGACAGAGCAAGACTCTGTCTCAAAACAAAACAAAACAAAAATAGGCTGGGCTCGGTGGCTCACACCTGCAATCCCAGCAATCTGGGAGGCTGAGGTGAGTAGATCACCTGAGGTCAGGAGTTCGAGACCAGCGTGGTCAACATGGTGAAACCCTGTCTCTACTAAAAGTTCAAAAATTAGCCAGGTGGGTGGTGCGTGCCTGTAATCCCAGCTACTTGGGAGGCTGAGGCAGAAGAATTGCGTGAACCCAGGAGGCAGAGGTTGCAGTGAGCCAAAGACACGCCCCTACATTCCAGCCTGGGTGACAAGAGTGAAACTCTGTCCCAAAAAAAGAAAAGGCTGGACGGTGTTTGCAGAGTTGCTGACGAGTTTCCCTCTAATCTCAGATGTCTTTGTGTCTATCAATCTGAGCAGACATCGAGTAGAAGGGCACATTCTCCAGGCCCTCCTTCCTGCCTGAGAGTCCAGGCTGGGCCAACCGGACCCACAGTGAACTGAGCCTCAGTCAAAGTGTCCAGTGCATCTTGACCTGCAACAGCAAGGAAGTGCATTTTGGGTTATTCCAGTGATGGATGGGAAGGACCTGGTGGTATTTAGTGCTGAGGGGCAGCGATGCAGAAAGATTTGTCCCGTGGGACAGGGTCCTATGCCAGCAGCTCCTGTCGAGAGCAAGGCAGGGCATAGGCCTGCAGCTTCCTGTGCAGCCACTGGCTGTGACGGGACATCTCTGGGTCTCAGCATTGCCCTGGGGAGGCTAGGACATTTAGGGACGTGGTAGGGTTTTATCATTTGTGTTTCCCAAATGTCAAGTCTCAGCAGGGCGAGGGGGCTCGCGACTGTCATCCCAGCACTGTGGGAGGATGAGGTGGGTGGATCATCTCAGGTCAGGAGTTCGAGACCAGCCTGGCCAACATGGCGAAACCCCGTCTCTACTAAAAATACAAAAAACAGCCAGGTGTGGTGGCACGTGCCTGCAGTCCTAGCTACTCTGAGGCAAGAGAATCACTTGAACCCGGGAGGTGGAGGTTGCAGTGAGCAGAGACTGCGCCACTGCACTCCAGCCTGGGCAACAGGGCAAGACTCCGACTCAAACAAGAAATGGTGACAGAAGCTGGATTGTCAGACTGCCCTGAGGAGAGAGGCTCCAGCACATCGAAGCCAGCCAGGCCCAGCTGCCGCGATTTGTTCCCCGGTGACCAAAGGCATGTGACTTCAGCATGAACCCTTCTCCCCCAGCAGTGACTAGAACTCCTGGGCCTCCATCTTCATGGAAGAGTGGGGCCTCTTCCAAGTCACAGACAGGAGACAGGGACAGGAAAGGACTCGTTCCACCCAATCAGAAAACGAATCATCCAGTGTCTACAGCAGGGACCAACTGATAAGGGAGGCCCAGCTGACCCGGAAGGCGCCCGCCAGCTGAACATTCTGCCCCCACCAGAAACTCCGGGGGGACCGCCCGTTAGGCGGAGGCCCACCCACCCCTTTGGATCACCAGCAGTCACAGACAACAGGCAGGCGAAACTGAAGACCCCAACCCAGCCCCAGCGGACCCTCTGGAGCAAAAGAGCCCCCCCTCCCCCCGGGGAGGCCACCTGTTGGCAGGTGTGATGAGGCTCGAACACCCAGGGCCACCGTTCCCAGCTGGGCGGCAACCCACAGCACTCACAGATCAGCTTGGCGATGGATTTGTATCAGGGTGGGGGCCGTGGTTTTGGCCAAAACGCAACGGACCCTGACCCTCCTCGTAAAAGGACGTTGGATTTCCCTCTGGTGACACATGGGATGCGTCATAAACCCTCCCCCAAAGCCCGGTCAGCACGCCCGTCCCTCCAACGACGAGTTTTGTGGTTTTTCAGAACAGAAATGAGATTAGGATTGATGACTGTTGTGACAGGAAGACATCATCTCCACGAGCTTTGGGGGAATTTTTAGGTGGAATAAATAAACTATCACCAAGAAGGGAGGTTTGCTTTTTTTTTCAATTCTGGTGGCAGGCCAGGCGCGGTGGCTCACGCCTGTAATCCCAGCACTTTGGGAGGCGAAGGCGAGTGGATCACTTGAGGTCAGGAGTTTGACACTAGCTTGGCCAACATGGCGGAACCCCGTCTCCGTTAAAAATACTGAAATTAGCCAGGCATGGTGGCGCACACCTGTAATCCCAGCCACTCGGGAGGCTGAGGCAGGAGAGCTGTGGGGCGGAGGTTGCAGCAAGCCGAGATCGTGCCACTGCACTCCAGCCTGGGTAAAAGAGGGAGACTCTGTCTCCAAAAGAAAAGAAAAGAACACCTCACTCCTTCACTCCTTCATTCATTTAGAGGCCCTGGCGGTCTAGTCCCTCACACCACTTCCAGCCCAAGTGGAGGGGCTCAACCCAGGGACCTGGGGCCTTGATGAGACCAGGAGGAAGGGACCTTTATGATCAGAAGAACAACATACAAGCAGCCATCAGCCAGGCCAGCGGAAGGAGGGGTGTCCCCAGCAGAATGACCCTTGGGGACAAGGCCTGGGGCAGACAGAGCTGGGCAGCCGGAGAGGGCCCAGAGGCCAGATCAGCTTTCATCGGTGTTTCAGAAAAACCCAGGACTACATTAACGGCTTTGTCACCTGGTCACTTTCTTTTCATTAAGGTTTTGTTTGTTTTTTTTTGTTTTTGAGATGGAGTCTCTGTTACCCAGGCTGGAGTGCAGTGGCACAATCTCGGCTCACCGCAACCTCCGCCTCCTGGGTTCAGGCAATTCTCCTGCCTCAGCCTCCTGAGTAGCTGGGATTACAGGCATGTGCCACCATGCCCAGCTAAAATTTTTGTATTTTTAGTAGAGACGAGGTTTCACCATGTTGACCAGGATGGTCTCGATCTCTTGACCTCATGACCTGCCCACCTTGGCCTCCCACAGTGCTGGAATTACAGGCGTGAGCACCGCATCCACCCAGAATTAACCATTTTTAAGAGTATATTCTTTTTTTTTTTTTTTGAGACGGAGTTTCACTCTTGTTACCCAGGCTGGAGTGCAATGTCGCGATCTCGGCTCACCGCAACCTCCGCCTCCTGGGTTCAGGCAAGTCTCCTGCCTCAGCCTCCTGCGTAGCTGGGATTACAGGCACGCACCACCATGCCCAGCTAATTTTTTGTATTTTTAGTAGAGACGGGGTTTCACCATGTTGACCAGGATGGTCTCGATCTCTCGACCTCGTGATCCACCCGCCTCGGCCTCCCAAAGTGCTGGGATTACAGGCTTGAGCCACCACGCCCGGCCTTTAAGAGTATATTCTTCAGTACTTCGTACCTTCACAACGTTTTGCAAAGACCACCTCTATCAAATTCCAGAATATTCCATTACCCCAAAAGTAAATCCATCCCCAGTAGCAACAATCATCCCCACCTACCCACTCCAGCCCCTGGCACCCAGGCCTCCCCTTCCTGCCCCTGTGGATTGGCGAGTCCCGGACATTTTATGTAAACGGGATCAGGAACCGCATAGCAATGAGGTCGCTAATTAACGCCCTGGGACCTGAGACTGCTTGGGGTCTGGCAGGCATTTGTAGCCCCTGTGCCTCCTCCCTGTCCTTCCCGCCGGGGTGGACTGGCACAGGGAGCCCTCCCAGAGGTGCCCTGCCAGGGCCTTTATCTGAGCAAGTCACTGTCACCTGAGGTCCTGGGCCACGTGCCCC